AATTGATAAATAGAGACAATAAATGACTGAATGGAATGAATTTTGATTTGGAATTTAAATATAACTTCAGTCAGAGATAAAATGAAAGTTATTTCAATAGTTATAAACGTTGTAAGGTCGACATATTTTTTTTCAGTTATTCTTTGGTGATACCAAAATTAACTCGAGTAATACTTCGTCCAGGTTTGCCAAACACACATTTCTGTTTGTTGTTATTGTGGATTGTTTAATGTTATGGTGAAACGCAATGCGAGAGATTAATTTCTAAAGCGGGTGCTATCATAAACCCATCAGTAAAAAGCATCTGCAAAAAAATATTCGTAAATGTTATATAATTTTTTAATGAAAATGAGATTTTTAACCATATCGCATATACACCATATATTTTATTTAATCACTCTAGTTTTATTACTATCAGTTTTTTTATTCTTTAAGTAGTTACCTCAGATCTTTGTTTAGTTTTTGATTTTAGAATGTTTTATTTTAAGTTTATCAATGTTAAGAATTTTGTTTTTAATAAAGGAAATCATTATATGTCATCACTATTTCTACTATCATCATTTTGCATTTTTAATGAAAAATTTAAAAAGTTACATGCTCCTTTGGAACCGAATTTTGAAACCTATTACCAAGATGAAACTGGAACGTTGTAACCCTTTACAGAAAAATAACCGTTTATCACATCTCTACTAGTGGCTCGAACCTTAAGGCAGAGTTCAGCAGAGATTTCTTTAGTGCAAAACCTGTTCTGAAAGCGTGAGCGTTTTGGTCATTGCCACTATAGAAAATTACTGAACTCCCAACCTCAATATGACCCACTCCAGCCCACCGGATTTCTTGCAGAGCGGTGATATCCATATTCATTCTTTCCATTTCTCAAAACGGACTTAGGACTGTCTACGGCAGAATTATTCGTTCTCCATTTTTGCAAGACCAACACCAAGAGCAATCTTGCTCATGACTAGTTAAAAGTTTTTCAAAAAACACTGCTCAATAAGCGAAACTCAATTATTTCATTTTAATTAGTCATATCTCTCGAGGGTCGTTCTCGCAAAACAACGTGCCGGTCGTTTTTTGAATCTGATCAGTCCTTTGGGTTGGTGAGCCTGTCTGGATCTTGAAGATCATCCAACTCTGCAGATTATTACCGCCTTCTCGTATTAATTGTCTGTCCAAAAAACCTCATGTTGCTTGCAACACAAATGGAGGAGAGTTCTGGATGATCGATTCTCGAAGAAATTCCAAACATGCGTTTCCAGCATCACATTTCTGCATATCGAAAGTTTGCATTTTTTATGCAATGAAAACTACACTATTCCACCCATTCAATACATTTTTTGGTATTGGTGTAGTCATTGTAGGCCTTCAAGCGCTTCCACCTTCCGAATACATTTAACCAATCGAACGAATTTAAGTTAGAAATAAAACAGATTCTTCAGGTGTATTGAGTATGTCTCTATACAACTTTGTATAAACATCAAGCTTCTGAATTAATTCAATAAGACTTTGTTAATTATCTCGAGATTACATCACTTCAGGTTACAAGCTCGTCATATTATCGATCATTGTTTTATACGATAAGAACTCTCCACTCTTAGAACAAAGGATTCGAAGCTGGCACGTGTTGACAATGAACGCAAGTTTCCGATATAGTTTAATAATTTTAATGGCTTTCGATGATTTGACAACATTTTGCCTTCTGTTCATCAGGACACGTCAGACAATCTTTCTTCGTAATATCTGTTGCATCTGCAATTGGTTCCATAAGGAAAACAAAACTTATTCCCCCAGCTATATTTAACAGCTGTAAATAACATGTGTTTCAGCAATAGTGGAATGAAGTTGTTTAAACACGCTCATCGGCACAAGCCCTGAGATCTTCCAACAATTGGCTGGTTGCTGCGTCGTAGCGGGCTTTGCTTAATTGGGATTCATCGAGCTCACGTCCCAAGATGATCATGGTAGCTTCGTTGGCGTTATCAACTGCCCTATTCAAGTCTTTGACGACTCTTTGGTACAGGATGACGAGTTCAACATTGAGGTCACTGGCGCATATAACATCACTGCAGCTGTCTATTCTAGTTCCAAATTCATCGATTTCATTAGTAATCTCGCTGATGATTTTAAAGGCGCTCTCAATTTCTACTTCGGCTCTTCGTTTAATTTTGGAGATGTTCAACCGGTGCTCAATGAGCAATGTGGCGTCAACACGTCCAAGTTCTAGTTTAGCTTCTTCAACGCAACCAGCGATATCACTGCCTGGTTGATAAACACTTAAAATTTAGTCATGATTAAATAAAATAAACCTCCACGTACCATGAGATTCCTGTTCGATTCGTTCGATTTCTTCCTGGACTTTTGCCTGATGTTTTTCGGCGTCATTGGTGAGTTTTTCGTTGGCGGTCGCTACCAAGGTGCGAAGAGGCTCCAAAACGTTGCGAACTTCCTGCTGGGCTGCTTCTTGGCGGACTACGATGTCCTGCTGGATGGTGTCCCAGATGACATCAAGTTCGTCAGGGTTGACCCTAAGGCTCTTAAAACAAAACTCCCCATATAAACCACTGTTATTTGAGCGAAATAAAATAATCCGGTTCTTACGGATGATGCTGCAAAGGCAAACGCAGCTGAGAGCAGCAGCACAAATTTTAACATTTTGATTCTATGGTTCACAAGCTTAGAGAAAATGTAAATGAGTGAATGATCCACAATGACGGTTTTTATAATCAAATTTTGAGAGCCCAAAATGAGATAAGGCGTATTTTTGGAATGCAAGCTTTGCTAGTTTTTGCGGATGTTTGGACACTTGTAGTGTGTTGCTATGTAGGCGGCCAAAACAAGGGCTTGAGTGTTTACGTTTTTTCACTTAAGATATACAACAAATTGATTAATAGTTGTTGCTGCTTTCCCTTGTTAACTTTTCGATTTCTTTTCAATGTACAGAGTGCCCCGTAAGCACATGGTCAAAAAAGTACTGCGACATTATTTGGCTCAAAAGAAGACGATCTCACCTACCTAACTGTTATTTCGAAAAAATATCTGAATCCCCTGCTGTTACTGGTCAAAGTTCTTAACAAAAACTGTTTTTTTTATGTATGGAAATACGATTGATTTTTTGCTTGGAGATCGGCCTCCCAATCTGGGTCAGACGCCGTTTGCTGAGTCTTACATAAGAACAAATCGTCAGCAAGTTTCATTAAAATTCATTCCTTCGATATTTTAAAAAGCACATTTTTAATTTTTTTTTTAAATAACTGACCTACAGTAGTAAAGGATCCGGACATTTTCTCTTAATAAAAGTTAGAGCAGACTGTTTTCTTTTGATAATATGTATGTGATGATCAAGCTTTCTGCAGCTAGGAAGAAATAGAAGGGCAACAAATCTTCAGACCAGTCAAATACGTTAATTTTCAATTGTATATTTGACAAATGCATTTGTTTTTACAAAATGTTGAAATAATTTGAATGCATAGTTTCTACGTTTTGCCTTAATGAGACCATTGAAAATGCGAAACTGACTAAACACATTTTGAAGCACTTAAAACTACGTAGTAAACGGTTGAAGTAGTTTTCGAAGGTGTTTATTTTATCTACAATTATAATTATTTGTAATTTCTTCAACTGTATATTATTGAATATTTTTCTATTTGCAACTGCATATTTTGCTGTTAATACAGTTAGTTGCATAAATGCAAAAACAACTATGTTTTACGTATGCACAGTAGTTACAAACATTGAAGTTAATAAACTGAAGAATGCTACGAGAATGAGAATTTTTTTTGTATTTTATGGAATTTTAAAAGGTGTCTATTTAAGTTCGCCCCAAATGGAAAACTTTTTAATTATTCATTTTACGAAAAACAGTTATCCTTCATAAAAATGCCCGAAACCTAAAATGTAGCCATGAATTAGAATTTTTTTTCAGCCGAATCGAAGTTACCATATCAGAAAATATGCATTTTGCTCAAGAATAAAGTTCTTTTATTTTTAACAATTTCGAAAATTGTTATTAAGAAAAGTATATTAACGTTGACAAGTACGTTCAGATGTCTCATTGCGGTCTAGTCTATCTTCCTATCGATCTACGATGAACAGGTTTTGCTATTTTTAACATTTTCCACTGGTTTCATACTGGGAACTTTTTATTATTAATTTTACGAGAAAAGTAATTTTTCATAAAAGTTCTGCATCTTCTAAAATCTTAAAAACAATCATGATATTTTTTTAGTTGTGGACGAGGTTTGCCAGGAAATAAGAACAAAAAACAGAAAAAAATTAAATCTCAGTAACATTTAAGGTTTTGGACTAAGAAGAAATTTTATGAAGAATATCTTTTTTCGGAAAAATGAACCATTAAAGGATTTTCTATATGGTGTAAACTTGTCTACTTAAGTTCGATCCATACCAAACAAACTAAATTTAGTTTTAGTTCCGAGTTAGTGAACCAAATAGGTGAAGTGTTCATGGTCTTCCTTATATGTCCGGAATCAGTATGTGGAGGTTATTAAGGCTCTTCAAAAACATAAATAAGTGCTAAGAAAATTAGGCAGAACTTAAGCTATATGGCGCAAAGATGAAGAATCAAAATAAAAACAATCTAAAATTCATTGCGGAATGTCACATATATTGCACAAACACGTTTAAGGATTTTTGTAATCCTGCAAAGAATCCATCTTCAATATCGACGTTATAAACAACTGCCAAAAGTACTTCAAATGTTTATTATTTATTTTGAAGTGTCTCAAAATGGATTTCGCAAGGTTCATAGCTTAGTTCATGTAATTTCCCAAAAATACTAATTGAAATTTATTTTATTTAGTTTATTAAAATTAAGAATTACATTTAGTCAGCTGAAGACAGCTGGGCCGGATTCAAGCAAAAGTGAATGTCCTTCAGTTTAGAGCAAAACTGGTTAAACGAAGTCAAAAACAGTAAATAATTAAGTAAATTCTTTTGGAATTCGATGTTTATAATAGTTGAGTAAACGTAAACACTTCAGTCTTTGTATCCGCAACGCGTGGTACCACATTTTTCAAATTCCAGATAAAATCATCACTATTGCATTCCGAGCATTATTCTTCCTTATCTGATTTAGGTACTCAAAATGCGGGTATAAATATTGTCCCTCTGCATCATATGTTCATTCACATTCTCTCCAAGCTTCTGATCCAAACAATCAAAACTACACCAAAATGTTCAAATTTGTTGTGCTGCTTTCAGCTGCTCTTGCCTTTGCTGCTTCAGCGGTAAGTACCAGATTTTATTAATTTCTGCGGGAGAACAGTGGTTGACATAGGGAGTTTTGTTTTTAGAGCCTTAGGGTAAACCCTGATGAACTCCACGTCATCTGGGACACCATCGAGAAGGACATCCGAGTGCGTCAACAAGAAGCCGAGTTAGAAATCCGCAACCTTTTGGAGCCTCTGCGCATCTTGGTTGATGATGCCAGGGAAAAGCTGGCGAATGACCTCCAAGAGGCCAACGCTGTGATCCAAGACGAAATCAGGAGAATCGAACAGGAACCTCACGGTGCGCAGCTGTTTAAATGGCTCAATGTTTGCTAAAATCTAAGAATTCTCTTTAACCAGGTCGTGACATCGCGCGTTGCATCCAACAAGCTGAAGAAGAATTGAGACGCGTTGATGACGAATTGGTCCAAGAACACAATGAAGCTTTCGAAAGGATCCAAAGGGAAGCTGAAGAAGAAGTACAGCGCGCCATTCAAATCGCCAGCAGCATTATTGATGAAATCGAAGAATTCGGAAGAAGAGTAGAAAGCTGCAG